GTGTGCGCTGGGCCCTCGGGGGGAGCCGCTACAACCAGAGTGGGAGTGAGTGTGGGCTGGGGCTGCGTGGGGCTGGGCTGGGGCTCTGTGGGGCTGGGCTGGGGCTCCGTGGGATGGGACAGTTCCTGCCTCCAGGACACTGCCTGTCCCACACTACTGCCCCAGTTTGTGTGCACCCTTCCCTGCCTGCTGTCATTGTCACAGGGCTCCCAGCCCCTCCCTTCCTCAGCTCCAGGCTGTTTCAGCTGCCCTGCCATGCCCCTTGGGGCATGGGATCCCTTGTCCTACATCCAAGGGGACACTTGAGTGCCCAGCACCCCTTTCCCGGACTGGCCACGCAATCCCAGCCCCTCACCATTCCCACAGCAGTTGAGACCCCTAGAACCTACCACCTTGTGTCCCATCCTCTTTGCACCCCTCGGTGCTTGTACCCGCCTTTCCCAGAACCAGGGGCACTGCCCCCCTCCCATCTCCTTGTCCACCACGAGGGGCCTGGGGGGCACATCCCAGCCCCTCGCTGTGCCAGGGTGCCATGGGGCTGGGTGCAGTGTGTCCACATCATGGCTTTGTGCTGCCCCACAAGTGCTGTGGGGCCCGGGCAGGACAAGGGCAGCTCTGTGGCTGGAGACACGTTTCAGGAGCTCACACGGTGCAGAAGATGTACGGCTGTGACCTCCTGGAGGACGGGACCATCAGGGGGTATCGGCAGTACGCCTATGATGGGAGGGACTTCATCTCCTTCGACCTGGACACGATGACGTTCATCGCGGCGGATGCGGCAGCACAAATCACCAAGAGGAAGTGGGAGGAGGACGAGGCTGAAGCTGAACGAGTGAAGAACTACCTGGAGACAATCTGCATTGAGTGGCTGAGGAGATACGTGAGCAACGGGCGGGCTGTGCTGGAGAGGAAAGGTGAGGGTGAGACGGGGCGCGTGGGGAGCGGCCGGCGTGGGTGCGTGTGCCGACCCTCCCTGCCACCCCCTCCGCAGAGCCCCCCACGGTCCGAGTGTCGGGGCAGGAGGCCCACGGGGTGCTGACCTTGTCCTGTCGCGCTTACGGCTTCTACCCGCGGCCCATCAGCATCAGCTGGCTGAGGGAGGGCGAGGTCAGGGACCAGGACACCGAGTGGGGCAGCGTGGCGCCCAACAGCGACGGCACCTTCTACTCCTGGGCCTCCATCGAGGCGCGCCCGGAGGAGCGGGACAAGTACCAGTGTCGCGTGGAACACGCCAGCCTGGCCCAGCCCGGGCTCTACGCGTGGGGTGAGCGTGGTGGCCCCGGGCACGGGGGGCTGGGGGGTTCCCCTCCCGCTCCTCACTGCCCTGCTCTCCCCCAGAGTCGCAGTCCAACACGTTGACCATCGCGCTGGCGGTGGCCGGAGCCATCCTGGTGGTTGTGGCCCTGGTGGTTGGATTTGCCCTCTGGAAGCGCAAGTCAGGTAAAGCAGCGGGGCTGGTGAGGCAGAGGGGGGTGTGAGGAAGGCAGGGCCTGGGGGCCGGGAGGGGCAGGGGGCAGGAGCTGCTGCACTCTGTGGAGCCCCGAGCCAGGTGGGCAGGGCAGCAGCTGCTGATGCCTCTTTCTGTCTGCAGGGCTGACGGGCTACAGGGCAGCGGCAGGTGAGTCCTGGGGGCAGGTCCAGCTGCAGCCACTGCCCAGGGCCAGGGACACCTGGTGACTGCAGTTCCTGGCCCCTGCTGGCATTTCCCAACCCTGGTTGTCCATGGGCTGCCCCTCTGGAAAGCCCCAGAGTGGGAGGGAGGGAAGGGGCCGTGTCTCCCCTCGGGGGTTGGCAGCTCCTCGTGGGGGCTGTGATGCAGTTGTGGCTCCAGCCCAGCTCCTGGCCCGTGACCCTCGTCTGTGGCCAGTGCAGGGTTGGCAGCTCAGGGCTCTTTCTCCCTCACAGGCTCGGACAGGGGGAGTGATAGCTCAAACGACCGTGACCCTTGTCTGTGGCCAGTGCAGGGTTGGCAGCTCAGGGCTCTTTCTCCCTCACAGGCTCGGACAGGGGGAGTGGTAGCTCAAACGAGGGCTCTGGCAGGTCATCCAAAGGTACGGTTGCTGAGCGTGGGCTTGCAAAGGGCAGCCCCAGCTCCCCATGCTCCCCCCTTGGAGGGCAGAGGGACCCCCAGAGCAGAGGGCTGTGGGCAGGGAGGTGGCCCTGGGTGACCCTCTTGTTCCTGCAGAGATCCCTGCCTGATGGCTCCCGGAGGGGCTGGATGTGTCCCCTGCCCTCCCACCTCCTGGATGCAGAGAGGAGCTGGAGGAGCC